CTTAAATGTATGTGTACCGCACATTTATTTCAATGTTTAATATCAGAAGTGTTCTGATATTAAAGTTTGGTGATGTTTTTGTAACCAGAAACACGCCATCAGAACTTTTGTTTCTATCAATCTGCCTGTGGTAAAATTTGTTTCCCAATATATCATTTTGCTTAAAGTTGCAGTTTCCAAGAAATTATCAACAACATTAAGTGAAAACTTACTATACTATACATTTTATTGTTATTTTAGAGTGTACTCATTCTATTTTTTTATATATATATAAAAAGTGCATTTTAGAGTGTACTCATTCTATTTATATGTACGAATTTTATATAAAGTTAACTGTAACACAGACTCAGATACACATATACATATACATACATATATACATGTGTATGTTAACTATAACAGACTCAGATACACATACACATATACAGATACACATACATGCGTACGTTAACTGTGACACAGACTCAGATACACATATACATATACGTACATATATATACACATGTGTATGTTAACTGTAACACAGACTCAGGCAGGTGCTACAGGAGGTATTCCGTAAGAAGGCATTGCTATGGTAGGAGATGGCAGTTCCATGAGTGTTACTGCTCCTGAAGACTTTCCATTGGAACAAGATATGGAGGTGGAAGGTAGTAATATTGATGATTCTGACTCTGCAGGCCTAGTCTCACATCTGTGCTTATGTCTTAGTTTAAACAAAAAAAACAAAAAACAATTTTACAAAGTAAAAAAAGAAAAATGAAAGTTTTAAAAATAGAAAAACATTAAAAGTATATATATAAAGAAAAAATTTGTAGAGCTATGCAAGGTATTTGTATTTTAAGCTAAGTATTATTTTAAAAGAATCAAAAGGTTTTTAAAAGTTAAAAAGTTATAAAGTAAAAAAGTTACAGCAAGCTAAAGGTCTATTACTAAAGAAAAAACAATTTTTTAAATGAATTTTAATTTAGCTTAAGTGTACAAGATTTATAAAGCCTACAGTGGTGCAGTAATGTCCTAGGCCTTCACATTCACTCACCACTCACTCACTGACTCACCCAGAGCAACTTCCAGTCCTGCAAGCTCCATTCATGGTAAATGCCCTGTACAGGCGTACCATTTTAAAAATCTTTTATACTGTATTTTTACTGTACCTTTTCGGTTTTCTTTTTTATTTTTATTTCTTTTGAGACAGGGTTTCACTCTGTCACTCAGGCTGGAGTGCAGCGGCATGATTATGGCTCACTGCAGCCTCGACTTTCTAGGCTCAAGTGATCCTCCCACCTCAGCCTCCTGAGTAGCTGGGACTACAGGTGCATGCCACCATGTCCTGCTAATTTTTTTTTATTTTTTGTAGAGATGGGGTTTTGCCACGTCACCCAGGCTGGTCTCAAACTCCCAGGCTCAAGCAATCTGCCCATCTCAGCTTCCAAAAGTGCTGGGTTACAGGCATGAGCCACAGGCCAGGCCTACTGTACCTTTTCCATTTTTAGATATGTTTAGATACACAAGTTTTCCACTGCGTTACAACTGCCTACAGCACTCAGTACAGTAACATGCTGTATAGGTTTGTCGCCTAGAAGCAATAGGGTATGCCATATAGCCTAGGTGTATAGTAGGCTATACAATCTAGGCTTGTATAAGTATACTCTATGATGTTCACACAACAATGAAATCACCTAATAACGTATTTTTCAGAATGTATTTCTGTCATTGATGCTTAACTATAAATTTTTTTTTTACTGAATGACTCAAATCTAACCAGAGATTTTAAGGGAATGGAAGAATACTACTAATATAGCAAAAATTTAACCTCTCTTCCCATTCAAAATTTGTTACCTGTGCATAATCTCACATAACCTACAGGTTGACTATACAATGAGTCTTGCTTTTAGAATGATACTGCTTGCTTTTATGATGCATATCAACTTTTTGATGACTGAGGAACTGTGTCATAAACAATATGACAACTCACAAAGACCTAAATAACAAAAATAGTTCTATAAATAGTAATAAAAATAATAAAACAGTACATTCTCACATCAAATGAAAATGATTCTGGAAATGTGATAAAAGCCTTTGAAACATACAGGATTTTTGAGTAATAAGAATACTTAATAATACAGAATACTATAGAATGATATTAAGAATACTAAAGACATTTGACTGCCAAATATTTTGCATTACGCACAAAATATTTGTCAACTCCTATAGACATTATTTTAAAATAATTTCCAAACTTTATCTCAAAACTTCCCATCCCTATAGATAAAATATTCCTTGTAAAAAGGATTTAATGTCTCCAAATAGGAGGGATAGTCACCTTTATGAAGGAATGGTTATCTTCATACATATCGGGAAAAAGTTCATACAGTTTCCAATTAACAAGCCTCAAACATATGTCACTCACTGACATACAAAGCTAAAAAGCATTGTTGTCCAGAACAAACTGTTCTTCTAATTTGCTTTCATATTTTATCACTATTTTCAATAAAATACAATATTTAGTAATCCAATAATGTTACGCCTTTTCGAAAAATAAAATCTTTTTTTTTTCAAAAATGAAGTAGTTAAGACCACAAAAAAATAATAGGTTTGAAAATAGGTAAAACTTCTGGGATTTTTCCTGTTGCATCATTATTAAGGACTGAATTGTGCTCCCTCCAAAATTCGTATGTTGAAGCTCTAACCTCCATACCTCAGAATGTGATTGTATTAGGGGCCTTTAAAGTGGTAGTTAAGGTTAAATTAGATTATAATAGGGGTCCCTAATCCAACAGTAGTGTCCTTATAAGAAGAGGAAGAGACATCAGGAGAGTGCACACAGAGGAAAGGCCACGTGCGGACACAGTGAGAAGGCAGCCATCTGCACACCGGAGAGAGAGGCCTCAGGAGAAACCAACACTGCTGGCACCTTGATCTTGGATTTGCAGCCTCCAGGACTGTGAGAAATAAATTTCTCTCGTTTAGGCTTGTAACACCCAGTCTGTGGTATTTTGTTAGGGCAGATGTAGCAAATTAATACAATTTGGGGTTGAGGCCTCAAAGATAAAAATAAAGGTTGTGATGGGCCCTCCCATTCTAAGCCAAAATGCTAGATGGCCTATATAGAACTTGTGAAGGTGAGACCAAACCCAGGTCTGGAGGCCTTGGGCCATCAATCGGCCACAGAGATATTTAAGCAGGAAATTCATGTGAAAATTTGAAGTTAAAAATTAGACAGCGAGGATTTCTTTGAAGGGAGAGAGTTGTTAGAGATATATAATGCTTCCCCTAACTTTCCCAAGCCAAGTGAGGGGCATCAGATAATCACTTGGGTAGTCTGAAGAGTCTAAAACTCCTTAAAGAGTCTAACGCAGACAGTCTGGCTACGGGTGCCCTGGGCGGCAGCACAAGAAGGCAGGGCTCTGCCTTGTGACTGACCTCCATTTCAAGAACGTGGCAAAGATGTGTTTCCTGAGGACCGTCTGGGTACTCTGAAGAAAGAAATAAGACATGAGTAATCTTCCAAAAGGATTGCCTGGAGGTCACCACAGGAGGCCAGGGGCTGCAGAGAAGTGAGAAGAGGCCAGGGCAGGAGGCATTGCTGATATGAGGGCCTGGGGGAGAGCTACAGACAGGTCTCCCTCCCTAGGGGATGGCAAGTAGAGATAGTTAGTGTCCTTTTCTGATACAACCACACTACTTTTAGCTAATATTTCAAAATGGTCTTTCATGAGGTAAAATATTTCTGGTACTTTCTTACTTGTCCTATCTGGCCTTCTCACTTATCCTGTTCCTTAGCAAATTACATGTGAGTAGGTACATCACTGCTGTAAAGGAATGTGGCTTTAGGTAACATCCTTAATCTGGCAATTAATACTTTTGGAAATATATTTTCTCCTTTCTTCTCTAATTTGGGAAAAATAATAAAAGAAATGGCTTTCAAGGGTACACCATTTTTCTTACAGCACTTAGGAAGGAGAACTCAATAATGACTATGCCTATAATTATTACACTTAAAAAGCGAGTTCCTGGCCAGGTGCAGTGGTTCACACCTGTAATCCCAGCACTTGGGGAAGCCGAGATGGGTGGATCACCTGAGGTCAGGAGTTTGAGACCAGCCTGGCCAACATGGTGAAACCCCAACTCTATTAAATATACGAAAATTAGCCGGGCATGGTCGTGGGCGCCTGTAATCCCAGCTATTCGGGAGGCTGAGGTAGGAGAACTGCTTGAACCTGGGAGGCAAAAGTTTCAGTAAGCCAAGATCGTGCCACTGCACCCCAGCCTGAGTGACAAGAATGAAACTATGTCTCAAAAAAACAAACAAAAAAGGGAATTCTTTCATATGAAACCACTTATTACTACAATCAAAAATCAATTTTTACTTCACAAAATGAACACAATTATTTTAGGACTCAATCTTGCTTATGAGAAAAAGCAAGTACACCAGTGAGTTTTCAGTTTCAAAGGTCACTAACCAAACACAATGTAATGAATATTTCCTTTATTGTTCTCTAATGTTTTCTAAATTATTCTTGATCTCACTCCTTTTATGGCAGTCATTAGTCAGAAAAAACATGTCTTTGGCTCAAAAGCATCAGGGCTTTTCAATATTATGTTACTGAAGTAGTCACATGTTAATGGTATCAGAAATTTCATTTAATAATAGTATTTCATAATCAGTCTAGTATGATTTTACATAGGAGATGACGGCCTGGAGTAAAATAGCAAGGTGGTGGTTACAGAAAGACCACAAATATGTAAAAACTTTTTAAATTTTAAATATTTAGTACATGAACTAAAAATAAAACTGGTGGTTTTTTCCGGCTTTTTTTTTGTTTTTTGTTTTTTTTTTGTAGAGATGGGGGTCTTGCTTGGTTACCCACGGTGGTCTTCAACTCCTGGCTTCAAGCAATCTTTCTACGTCAGCCTCCCAAAGTGTTGGGATGATAGGTGTGAGCCACCGTGCCTGGCCTAATAAAGTTGTTTTCACTCCTAGAAGGATTTACTGTACTAACCCTGAAAGAGCTGAATGAATCGAGGCTGCAACGCTGAGGTGATCAGACTGTCGGGCAGCTCCCTCAGAAACAGCTTCAGCAGACTGGCTGCTGAGCAGACATCACCGTCCTTCCCGAGCTCCACAGGCACTCCACTCTCGAACTTCAGTCGAAGTTGTTCCACCACCTTCACGTTACCATTCACCCGAAAAAGACCTTCTTGGGTGAGTCCTGGAAGAGCAAAGTAGACACAGAAAATAAATAGGTTTCTCACAGACATGAAATGTAAAGAATGATAACAACACAAAACACAAAGAGAGAAATTTCAGCATATGACTCTCTCAACACTGTAATTATCAATCATTGCATGACTTTCACATTTTGTAAAACTTTCCATAGAATAATAAATGTTCATATCCACTGCATATCAACTAAACAGATCATACAGGATTGGTATAAAATCCAGCCTTTAAAAATAAGGCTATGCCATATATAAACATAGAGCAAAACAGAATACACAAAGAAATTTTTCATTTATGTAATCTTCTAGAGCACATAACAAAAACTTACTCAGGGCTCTAACAGCAGCTTAACACTTCATGAACAACTACTTTTTAAATGACATGGATTTAAGAAACTTTTAAACTCTATGTGATTACCTGTGTAATAGTTTAAGAAATCAGTGATGGTTTTTCAGTAATCACTAAATTCAAAATGTAAGACTCTAGGAAACTATAAAGTGGTGTAAGACAAGATCCTTGACTTCAGTCAGTTGACGGGGGATATCAGTGTCAGCTGAGGTCATCAGAGAAGGCCTCCTGGAGGAGGTAAACTTAACCTTTGGCTAAAGCAACACAGAGGGGCTGGAGCAGTTGAGCTATGAAACCAATGAAGCTTGAGCTTCAGGGCCCCTCATTTTCTTAGGCCCTTTACAAGCTCTGTCCCTAATCCTGTATTCTTAGTATCACGTTCTTTTTCTTAAAGAAGTCTCAAAAAGTTTAGGCATCTGGACCCACAAAACCTTGATCTACCCCTGACAAAGATAAACAAAAATACAAATTGAGAAGTAGAGACAGGATAGCATAAAGAAAGGTAGGCAGAGGACAATGTGGGGTGCCTAGTCAAAGAATGATGGGATAATAAAATGGAAAAACAGGAAGGGGTCTGTGACAAGTTAAACAGTGAAGGCTTTATCACTGGAGTATTAAGTGAGGAAAAAGACAAAATATAATAAGGGTTTTAGGAAGATTTAGCTAGCTAAGAAGTAGGGTATGGAGAGGGCTTGCCTTATGGAAACTATCTTCTATTTTAAGGTAGTAAACTGATATTATGGTGGAAAAGAAGTGAAAAATAAAGAGTAAAGATGATTTGGTAACTTGGTTCAAAAGGGAGAGGGAAAGAGTTGAAAGGTAACCTTAAGGTTTTGAAAAATAGGAATACAGGGAAAGAAAAAAACACTGTAAAAGATAAGGTTGGGGGTAGGGATAGGAGAGTAGCTGGTTTAGGGCAGAAGATAATGATTTCCAGCTTAGTGTGCTGCACACCATGTAAGCGAGTGTGTCAGGCAGTAGAAGACTTCGAAAGTGTAAGAAACAATCTTTCTAAGAAAGAGCAGGCCAGGATTTAACTTGACATTCTTGAGAGTCTAATGGTGAATGTTAGCAAAAATATAATGACATTGAAGCCTATCAGGATTTTTTAGAGGGGAGGTGATAATTTATATCAGCCTTTGCTTCTTACCCTTACCTGGTAATTGCATTGCTTTTTAAAGCAAAAGAGGAAGCTAATTTCATTTTATTTTATAATCTGATAAAATGCTTTATAAGCTCTTTAATTCAACAAACATGTAATAAGTGCCTGACATTATGTTAGGTCATAAAAAAATCAATCGTGAGAAAAAAATTCAACACTATCATTACCCTCATGGACTTTGAAGTCCGGTAAGACGTTTGTGTTCTTCCACGTATACATATTATTTGGCTGTAAAGAAAATCAATATCAAAAGTTGATATGAATTTTAGCTCCAATTCTGAAAAAAACTGTGACACTAGGGATGATATTAAAAGTATTTAACAATGACTATGACCAGGGCACCACCTAAATAGAAGAGATATCAATTGGTCTGTGTGGCAGACAGCTTCTAAAATAGTTCCCATGATCCCCACTTCTCGTACCACACCCATTATAATCCCCTCTACTTGAGTATGGGCCAGACCTAGTGACTTGCTTCTAACAACAGAATACAGCAAATGTGATGTCATGTCATATTTTGAGATTAAGTTATGAAAGACTGACAATCCATCATGCTTCTCTCTCTTTCTCTCTCTCTCCCCTTCTCTCTCTGTCTCTCTGATGTACTTTATTAGCTACTGGCCACGGGCAAAGATCTAAAGGTGGTATCTGGCCAACGACCAGTGAATAACTGAAAACCCTCAGGTCAACAGCTCACAAGTAACAGAATCCTGCCAACAATCACATGAATGAGCTTGGGAGGGAACTTTTCCCCTATTGAGTCCTGATATGACTGAAGCCTTGGCTGACACCATGATCACAGCCTTGTAACTCTAAGACAGAGGACACAACTAAGACGTGTCTGGATTCCTGACCCACAGAAACTGTGAGATAATGATAAATACTATTGTTTTAATCTACTATGTTTTGGGGTAAACTGTTATGCAGCAAATGGATAACAAATATGATACGCCTTTCCCTTAAGTTGTGTGGAATATCAGGTTCTATTGGGAGATGCCAGCTTAATTGTTTAAAGCTTTCAAGGTCTGTTTCCTCTACTATACAAAAGTTTATCTTTAGCTTCAGAAACTTATCCAACAATCAAGCAGCTAGCATCCAACAGAAAGGCATTCCATCCCTGGTCAAAGCTGAAATCCTGAAAATTTAGAGTTTTGTTTCCTGTTCCTATATTTACCCAGCTGCTTAACCTAACCTTGCCTTCTGTTTTTGGCCTACCAAATGCCCCTTAGATCTGATTTCACATGATGTTGTTTTTTTTTTTTTTTTTCTTTTTAGCTTTGACCTTAGTCTTTCTTTTCCAACAAGGTTTTTATGAACCTTCCCCCAAATAAATATACTTCCAGCAATTTCAGAAAAAACTACCCAGCTCCAAGAACTGTCTGTGGTCCTCAAGCCTCCTGATCTCACTGCACCAAACTAGCAGACGTGTAAGGTACAAGTAGAAGTGACTGAATTTAATGCTCCTTAATAATATTTTCCTGTCTCTGTCCCATTTATCTGAACAACTCTTCCCTCAGGAATATCTCCCACCCACAACTCTTTTATCACTAATTACCATAATTAGTGATGTTCAGCTAGGGGAAGTTTATAATCCTGGACATGAATATATCACATTCTGAGAAGAATAATCCATACAGTTTTTTAAGCCTCTTATGAGGCTAGAATACATCCAATACCCACAAGAGGCTTACCAGACCAAATAACCTTTAAATTTTCCCACCCTAAAATTTTAGAAAGTTATGACTATAACAAAAATATTCAGAAAAAGGGGATATTTGGATGACTTCATGAAGCAGAGTTACTCTCACACATTTCAAAGCTTCTATTATATTTGATTTTAGGCTATGTGCTAATTACTACAAAACAGCAACTTAATAGTGGTTTAGAAATGAAAAAATTATATAAGTAATGTCTACATCACTGAAAGATACTTTTCTGTACAATTGAAATATTTCTTTCAAAATAGTATGAATATTAGAAACAGAATATGCCATTAGAAACAGAACATGCCAGAAGTCACAATTTGCCTAACAACACACTTTGGCCAAGGAAGTAGTATGACAATAAGTAAGCACATTCTGACACCTAGTGGTGACTTGAAACTCTACACTGCGGGTTAAAACGGCATAACCTATAGTATCTTCATGCTAAACTAAGAGAAAGAAGCCGTTAACATTGTCAGTGAGAAAAAGAGTTTAAAGACTATATGCTTTATAAGTTATAATGTATATATTTTTAAATGAAACTATCCAAAATCTGCTTAAAGGGCTTGACATAGGTCTTTCTGTCTTAAAATTCCATTACAATAACAGTTTACTCTCATGTCAATTGTTAAACTGTCTGCATTTATGTGAAACAATAATAAAGCATAACCAAAATACCAACCTATGATTGAATTATATGACCAGTCACGTGACCCCTATAGTCCCATTCCCATGCCTGACACAGTGCTTACTGTATACCACAAGTGTACAGTAAATATTTGTTGACCTGAAAAAAACTGCAAAGTAATTAAATAAAACAAATTGAAGTATTATGCCCTCAAACTTTATACTACCCTTCAAACTTATACAGTTTCTTTGGTTTATTAACATCATAGTTTCAAATACAAGAAGGGGCTTATGTTTGTCTACATAGTAATTAACTACATAGCCTTTCAAAATACAGGTGCTAGGCCTACCCGAGTTTGCCCAGTCAAGATTCTGATTCAGTAGATATGAGGTGTGGGCAATGCATGTGTACTATGAAAGATTCCACTAGTGATTCTATTTCACATCCCTCATTAAGAACGACTGATTTAACTTAATAAAATGTTTAGCTTGCATTACCCAAATACACCCTGTTAAAGTATAACTAACAGTATGCTAAGGAGGGGCAGAATAAAATCAATCCCTAATTTAAATTTTGCCAAAATTTTCATATGTTGATGGTGTGAGTATAAACTGTTTCAACTCTGATAGAGTTCATTACAGATGCACATATCCTCTGACCACCCAGGAGTCCACTTCCAGGAAGGCAGTCTATGCACACACTTGCATGTGCTTGAAATGCCATATGTTAAAGGTTAACCATGGAATCATTGTTTGTAAACAATAGAAGACTGGAAACAATCCATGTGCCTATCAGTATGGGACTGCTTAAAGACATGATATATACATATGGTAAAACAGTAGGCAGAGGAAAATAAAATAATTAAAAATGAGTAAAGCTCTTTATGCAATATAGAACAATCTCCAAAATACATTGATATTTAAAAGATTCAGAACAGTATGCAATATTTGTGATAAAAGGGAAAAAAGAACACACAGACATATACTTATATATACACGAAACATCTTAAGAAGATACCAGAAACAGGTATAGCAATACTGTTTTAGAGAGAGAAAACAAAGGTCAGGAGACAGTTTGTAGAGAAAGACTTTTCACCATATACCCTCCTATATTTTGAACCACATAACTTTATTAACTACTCAAAAATATTAAAATTTTTAAAAATTAAAAATGTAAACTATTTTTACACAATAAAAGTATGCTCAAGAGACTATTATCCAATTAATGTTGAGAGAAAGAACACTGATTATGCCAAAACCAAAATACTACTTTAGGTACCCATAGTTGGACATCTAAATGAATATGCATCCCTACTTAACAGATTAAATGAATGATCTAGAAATCCATTTGTATCTAACTCAGTGGGATACACAGTCTTACTCAAAACCAAGTATGTAAATAAATCCTATTAAAGCTGGTTGTAACTCCCGGCTTCAAGATTTTGTAGGCCAAACTTCCATCTTCCTGTCATGCTATGTGTAACACTGTTTGTGTTTCACTGTTTGAAGTATTTGAATAAATCCAGAGCTGTTTTCTAAGAATCTGGCCTTTTTGCAATTTGTCTTCCTTTAATAAGGAGAAAAACTCTACAGAGTAAGAACAGAAACCTGGCTCTTAAGTTTTCAGAAAAAAAAATACAATTTTGTCATAAAGAACTGCCTGAAAGTCGGTAATTTATAAAAGAAAGACTCACAGTTCAGCATGGCTGGGGAGGCCTCAGGAAACTTACGAGGCAGAAAGCAAAGGGGAAGTGAGGCACCTTCTTCACAAGGTGGCAGGAAGGAGAAGAAGTGCTGAGCGAAGCGGGAAGAGCCCCTTATGAAAACATCAGATCTCTTGAGAACTCACCATCAGAGAACAGCCTGGGGGAAACCACCCCCATGATTCAATTACCTCCATCTGGTCTCTCCCTTGACACGTGGGGATTAGGGGATTATGATTCAAGATAAGATTTGGGTGGGAACACAAAGCCTAACCATATCAGTCATCTACATGCCTAGTAACCAGAGCAGATAGACGTTTTTTCAATTAACATCTAACCATCAGCGGAATGAATAATCTGCCATAGAGTCCCTGTCAAAAGTTGATACATGTTCCTATAGAGGAACATGTGATGAGCGCTTCTCACTCCTTTCCAATAAATGATTCTTATCAGAAAGGGTGAAGGGACTTGTAATCCTGGAAAGATATGGCCTGAAACAAATTACTCAAAATACAGTAGACCCACCTTACCCAAAGGGGATATGTTCCAAGACTGCCAATGGATGCCTGAAATCTTGGATAGTACCAAACCCTATATATACCGTTTTTTTTTTTCCTATACATACATATCAATGATAAAGTTTAATTTAAAAAGTAGGCATAGTAAGAGATTAACAACAACAATAATAAAACAGAATAGAGCCAGTTGCAATGGCTCACATCTATAATCCAAGCTACTTAAGAGGCTGAGGTGGAAGGATTATTTGAGGCCAGGAGTTCAAACCAGCCTGGGCAACATGGTGAGACCTGCCTCTAAAAACATTTTTTTTAATTAGCAGGTTACAGTGGCACATGCCTGTATAATAGCTACTCAGGAGGCTGTGGTGGGAAGATTATTTGAACAGTGGAATATGAGGCTGCAGTGAGTTATGATCACACCATGGCATTCCAGCCTGGGCAACAGAGCAAGACCCTGTCCCTTTAAAAAAAAAAAAAAAAAA